CTGGTGAGGAGGTCCACCAGAGCTCGGCACGACTCGAAGTCAGGTGGCTCCAGTATTGCAAGTATGCCAAGCAAGCTGTGTCTAGGGCCCTCGAACATGCCATCGAAGACCGCTGCCGGCTGAAGATGGGCGAGCTCTGCCAGCGAACAAAGGACCTGCCAGGACGCTGCTACATCTGCTGCGCTGCATGCTGCCGGCATAGGTCCTGGCTACAATGACAGACGCTGCCAGCTTGAGCTCTGTCAAAACTGCCAGCAGATGAGTATTCCAAGCGTGTGGATTGCATCCTGGATGCCCTTCGTGCGACAAGTGCACAATGACAGACCACAAGCTTTTTCCTTGCTCCGACGAACTTTAGGATGCCATCTCCTTGATGGCCTGTGTGATGTACACCGGTGCACGCGCAAGACACTTACTACAATATTTCTCAAGCTTGCTTGAAGGAAGCCCCACCCCTCGCTGTGACGGGTCCTGGTGGAACGGTTGCTCCCGGCACCACGGCACGCTGCGCTGTTCCAAGTCGCGCTCTTTTGTCAGATGCACCTTATCACGCTGCTGGAACCACTCCAAGTCAGCGCAGTCGATGACACCTGGCGCACTAGCATTGCTTGACGCTACTTCAGAATCGCTTGAAGAGCTGGATGCATCTGCTATCGGCTCCTGGATGGGCCGTTGCCCGGCAAGAGCTGCTTGACCTACCTTAGTCTGGTTGACAGCCTCCCAAGTCCAGGAATCGGGCTTGAGGAGCATGCCATGGCTTGAATAATCACTAGCCTTGGATCTGTAGGTTTTCCACAACTGGGCAAGGAGATCTAGCTTGACCCTAGCGCTGCGAGCAACCCGCTCACCGGCATAGTGCACTGCCATGGGGACTCGGTTTGTTGAAGCTTTGGATCCCTGGACATTCTCTGTCCAAGAACCAACAGCCTGAGCATCAGCCTCTGCACACTTGAACACCATGGCCGCCGTAGGCATAAATCTGCGCAAACGATTGTAATGAGCAGTGTGAGCCTTGCTCGGGTGGAGCCCTGCACGGGTAAGCAGCCCTCTGAAACACTCCATGAATCTAGAGCGCGACATCTGCCGGTGAGTCAGGAACGGGGTATCCTCCATGATCTGCCACAAGTGCTCGGAAGAAAGCTGGATGGCAGGCCAAAGAAACGATGCCTTAGGGTGTGCTACCTCCTCATGGAACTGCTGCAGAGTCTCCAGCAGGCTGAAAGATCCGCGAGAAACTTCTGGGCATGCCCATCGATAGGGAGGGCGACACCCACCCCGTCGCGACTTGCCCATACTGCATTCATATTCAAGCCAGCCTGAGTGAGCCGCGATAAGCTTGGAGCGCTGCACATGTGCGAATCTAATGCAGGACACAGCACTCTGCAGTACAAAGGAAACCAGAATACGACAGGGCCCTGTCAGCTCCTCAGCAAGCATGAGCAAGTTAAGAAACTCCCAAGGTTCGAGTTCCTTAGCCTGTTTAGCGGCATGTTCGCAGCTCACTAGCTTATATGGGCAAACCAAAAAGTGCAGAAGCGGCCATCCAACACCAAACCGCTTATCTAGCCACGACATGCTTTGGTACACGGATGCGGCTGCTGTGGGACCTCCCAGGGCAACTTCCCGGAGGAAAGCCGCCATCTCCGCAGGAGCGGGAGCGATCACGGACAACTTCCGCTCAGTAGCAAACTTGATCCACCTTCGAAGGCTCGAAGTGGCCGCAGAAATGTATGCAGCGGATGCCGATGAAGCCCCCTTCATAACCAACTGGAAAGATTGCTGGCTATGCTGATCAGCTTGTGCAATACCCAGCTGTGAGAGATCCAGAACATGCTGCACCAGCAATAAAAACAGGCCTTGGAGCTTGCTCTCTTTGGAGTCCCGTGTGGACACCGGCAATGAACTGCAGCCTGCCGCCGCTTGTGGGCTAACCACCGAAGCAGACTGTCGCCAGAGGAGCTTCATCTTAACTTGGCTATGTTTGTCACTGGCCGCCGCAACGTATGGTGCGACCCTATTCTGCTTTTGTCCAAAGTTCGAAGCACG